AGTGTTCGCCTTGGTGCGCTTCGGATTGCGACGGAGAGCAGGAGCCTCCACTGCCGTATCAGCCTTTTGCTTCTTGCCACTGACCTTCTTTGTCGCAGGCGGCGGTGAAGCAGGCTTTGGCGTGGGAGACAGCCCCAAGTCAGTTGGGGAGCTGGGCGCGGGGGATGCGGCGGGGGGTGCGGCGGCGCTTTCGGGTTGGTGTGCTCAACACACAAGCAGCAGGTGCAGGATCGGAGGGGGAGGCAGCGGGAGGTGCAGGGAGAGCATAGTCGCCGGACTCGTTCTTCACCACAATGCTAAAGTCCAGATATTGTCGTGTTGGGTCTGGATCCAGGAGGTTGAGCCTGAAGTAGCACGGGTCTCCCTGGCCAGTCACCCCAAGTACAAATTCAGAGCCACTGAACGCGATGTTAGATCCAACGCCTTGGGGGAACGCGGCAAGCACGGGCATGCCTGGAAAAGAAGTCAGATTTTGCAAAAGGCACATGAATGAGATACACTCACGGGGATCCCAGCAGTCATTGTCAAAGAAGGATATTCCCGCTGGCTCACGCCCCTCGAACACCTCATTCAGCGAGTACTTGATGGTGGTCGCAAGTATGCTCTGCTGCGATGCCGCCAGCGAGTGTATACCCTTGTCAGTTTGTCCAAGCTTGGTCGGCAGGGGAAGCAGATGAGGCCATCCAAGTAACATGTATCCCCCCTTGAAAAGGGCTGGACCGGCGCTCTTCCACTGGAAAGTCCATTGGCTCATATTGGTCATGGACCCAACGGGTTCACTGCCAATCTGGGCCATCGACAGAGCACTCAAGTCATCGAGGAGATTGTCCCAGAGACGGTTCACCTTCATGGACCTTTGGAGCGCTGGTTGGAGTCCCCCTCCATCGCATCGCAGATGTTCTGGATGTTCTCCTCAACCTCCCGTTGCGTCAGCAGAGCCTCGTACAGCGGTTGGAGTTTGTAACGTGGGGGAACCCGTGCTCGCAGCTGAGCCAGGGGGTTGGCAGATGAGCTGGGAGCAGCGGCCCGAGTGGAAGAACGCGTCGGTGCGATGGCGCGGGCGCGGGCGGGGGTGACGGCGGGGGCGCAGACGGGGGTGACAGCGGAGGCGCAGACGGGGGTGATTGCTGGTGTGGTGAGGTCACCCGTGCCAGTCGCATGGTCGTCGACTGCAAGCAACGCATCGCGTGCCTCATCCGCGTCCTGAATCATCCAGCTGCTGTAATCAAAACAGATCAGACTCTTTCATCCACATGAGAACCACAAGGACTTACGCAACGTGATGCTGAGCACGGCTGATTACCTCCTCGTCACTCAGCTCGCCGTGATACAGAGTGGACAGAAACTGGAATTTTGGTGAGATCGTTCCAATAGAAAGGTAGCTTGCTCACATCGTCCAGTCCTCCGCTTGCGACGATGGATGCAAGCCGGGCTTCGTGCGAAGAGAAACCTCCCAATGCAATCATCAGAACCTTGAAGTTGCCCCCGGCCTCTCCGCGCTTGATCTGAATCCAGTTAGAGAAGATCACAAGATGATTGTGCACTCACCAAGGCCTTCATTTTACCAAGCCATCCATCGAACAGCTTCTGCTGATTTCCCAAGGTACGCAGCTCCGTCACCTGCTCCCACTCAACAAATGTGTCCAGTACTTCCACCAGCGCAGCAGGAGTGTGCACTTTGACAGATTCCGACCACGAGTTTGAGAGCTCGCTTGATCGTTGGGCTGGGGGGAGCTGATCAGGGAACTGGCTGAGATCCCCGCCAGTGCGTCGTTGCCACTTGCGGCCACGGAAGCGGGGATGATTTGCGTACCGCTGGTAGACGTTCCAGTAGTAGTTTTGTGCAGGGAAAAGCCGCGGGTACTGCTCATGAAGCTTGGCCTCAACCTTATTCTTGTTCCAGCCGGTCAGCTTCGCCGTCTTCGTGATGAGCATCCCAATCTCTTCGGCAGTTGCCAGTAAGAGATTGCGTTGTTCTTGCGACCGCTCCTTCAGGACCCGCCCAAATTCCACGTCTTCCTCGTATTCCGCAGCGGCGTTTTTGGGGGTAGCGATAGAGGCAGGGAGTGCGGCATGGGATACGGCAGGGGACGCAGCGGGGGACGTGGCAGGGGTTGTGGCAGGGGGTGCCACGGCGGGAGCAGGGTTGGGAGCGGCGCCAGCGGACGGGCCTACCTCAAGAGAAGGGATGTATGGGCTCGGCATACGGAGCACGTTTTCGCTGCAATTGCATTGTAAGGAAACATGTAAGGGAGGATCAAGAAGCTTGAAGACTTACCTGTGAGCGTCCGAATGTTGGGCCATCCTCTGCTCTGTGTTGATGCCCACCACTGGCCGCACAATGAAAGAGGGTTGTGCTACCTGTGAGGAAAGTGAGGGGCCGGCCGAAATGTCTTCCTCTCCCTCCGCGTCAATTTCAGAGATGCTCCATTTGTTCGGACGCGCCAGGTCCCCGGAGGCGGCTCCATGCTCGCCAGCAGTTTGGGCCGTGAGCTCATCCTGAGGGGATGGCATGGAGCTGTTGAGGGTTTCCTCAGCTCCAGCACTTGTGAGGACCCGAGCCTGTTGTGCCGCGTTGGCTGATTGAGCCAGACTGTGGCCTCTGCGCGACGCGGTAATCTTCTGCCGGAGCTTGTACCCGCCCCCCTCCTGCGTTGGGACCTCCTCGCTGTTGTTGTCGTTGCCCGGAAGTGCAAAGAGCCCGCGGAGAGCTTCCAAGGGGGGGGCCTCAGGAGAAAGAGTGGCAATGGGCGGAACGGAAAGAGTGGCAATGGGTGGAACAGAAAGAGGAGGCGTCTTGGGCTGCCCACGCGGAGTTCTCATCCCGACGCAAAGTCCACGAGAGATCGAGACCTGCTGCAGAGCCAAAGCAGGGATGGAAAAGGGGATGGCCTGTGGAGACCGCACGTCCATGGATGAAACAGGACTGGATGAGGGGAAAGAAGGCTGCGATGGCCCCATCACGGCAGGTCGGCCACCCGAAGCATTGGCAGAGTCGTTTACAGGAGGCGGCAATGGGAAGGAGAAGTTGTTCAGGAAGGGGTCGACCGTGTTGGTCGACATGTCGGAGCCGGTATTGTGCTCACCAGAGGCACCGGCCTTCAATGCGTCACCAGCTCCGTCGCGACCACCGGTCTTCATTTCTAGAGTCTTTTCACGCGTCACTAAGTTGAGGGCGAGAGGAGAGGTTGTCGGATGTGAATTGTGTGGTTCAGATGTGAGGGCCCGTTTGGCCCAGAATGCAAGCAAGAAAAGATTTGGTTTTTTTGGAAACGCGCGCTAAGCAGATCAGACATGGTCAGCAGACGCGAATTGGGATTCAGATGGGGACCTACAGGAAGGGTACTGCTGCAGTGGGAGGACAGGAAGAGAGCGCATTCAATTGCGATGCATGTCACATCAATCACGATGTGTCACAGTGAAGTCATAGGCAGACCCCCTGCCGCGGCCGCCGCCATGAGCCCGCTATATTGCTGCCCTGTTGGCGGCCCCGGCTGCACCTCAGCTTCACCCCCCGCGCACTTGATGGTGGTTCCTTCCGAGTCTTACACGTAATTTTCACACACTCAATGTCCCGGAACATGTCACCAGGCAGCCAATCGGACTGAGAATAAACGTCGTACACATATCTACAAATGAATTCCAGCTCAGTAGAGGGTGCTTGGACCTCGGAAATGTACGGAATGGTCTCGAATGAATCACTCCTTTTGTTCCCAATAGAAGTTTCATGCAGTTTTGTAAGAAAAAAGTTGATTCTCGAAAGTGAGTCAAGGGCACTCAAGTCTCACAGGAACTTATCACTCACCGTCATCTCAAAAATGGGTCGCTGTGCAATTTCCCTTACGGTTGCCAATCGGAAAGTTGCAAAGGGTGCCAGAGACGTCAAATATGTCTCCAGCATGCAGTAAGGCCTTATCGGTGAAGTCGATCTTTCCCTGATACATTATATCCACAGCGGCCAAACCCAACATAGATCCACAAGAGTGGCCAAGAAGAGTCAGAAAAGCGGGGCGATAAAGACCCTACCTGACACTGCTATACCCCCTGAACAGTTGATCAACTACGGGACACTGGCAGTGCCAACCGAAAACGATTTCTTCAGACGCGCACTATCCAATCCTGAAGCGCTGGATTTGTCGGATTGTGGTCGATGGCTTTGTGAACCTCCTTTTGTTTCTATGGAGGACCCAACTCCCGTCAACTCCCCAGGCTATCAGGCCTATACTTCAAATCTCAAGAATGTCATGCATGGAATTCATGCTGGCATCCAGCAGTCCATTGATGCAGAGAACAGGAAAATGTTTGAGAGCGGGGAGCTAGCTCATTTAGCAGAGGATGTGAGTGCTACTCTTGCACGCTGGGAGAGGGCCTTCAAGCTGAGAGAGCAGGGACGTTACCAGGAGGATAAGTTCTCACATGAGAGCGAGATGCTGGAGATATTTTTACAGTGGGAAGCAAAGCGCTACATGAAACTGTACAATCTGGCCTTCCTGGGCAAATGAATCTTGGACTGCATGTAGCCACCAAGACTGTGCCCTCGCGGCACCCCCCACGGCACCCCCCGCAGCACCCCCCGCAGCACCCCCCGCAGCACCCCCCCTCGCGGCACCCCCCGCGGCACCCCCCACAGCACCCTGGCTCTTGCGTGCAGAGAGTCAGGCCGGCACGCATGGAAGCGTGAGCATGAAGTTGGTGAGAGTGTGCCGTAAAAACGGAATTTGTGGTTCAGCGATGTTGGATCCCAGCATTCCGCGCAGAACAGCTGCAATAATGACAAGGACCCAAACACCGCAATCGTAACTGTTGCACTGAACTGCAGTGGAAATCATGGGCTCTGCAGTCCAGGCCTCCCCATCCAAACTCAAAGGGAGCGCATATCCGTTTCGATGTGCCAGGAGTGTCATGCGGGTCACCAGTAACATGACATTCTGGTCTTTTTCAGCCCCTATGTTGAGAAAAAAAATGAAACACACCTTTGTATCAGTATACCACGGACACTTCTAAGCCAAGCTGTCGAAGAGGAGGAGCTTTTGCTCATGTACCAGGACAATGACAAGAGCCCAGTGTTCCTGGGCTTGCCGGTGGACTGGAATAATCCAGATTGACTTATTCCAATACTCTGTAGGGGCCAGATTTTTCCAGATAACCTTATCAGGAGCATTGAAACGGACTCGATGTAGATCATACGTGGAAAGAAGGGCGCATCTCTGTGCAGACAGGGCATGCAGCGAGAAGGGTTGCATGCACCATGAGAGAATGGCTGCTGACACACTGTTGAGGATGTGTCCATTTAATCGGGCTGTTGATCCTGTGAGTAGTGCTAAATCACTTTGATAGACTGCAACAGCGGGCAGGTTTCCAGGGAGGACAACCACACGAGTTTGGAGATCACGTATCACGGAAAATTTGGCAACATGTGCTGTGAGATCTCTCAGGAGATTGTTGTCACAAGTGGATCGAGACTGTTCTAGATCAGCATTATTTGCTTTCGTGGAAGCGTTACACATACCTTTGTGAATGAAGCCCAGGATATTCTGACATGGCAATTGTCATGTTCAAGTGTTGCTGTGTCTTTGTCATCATCTGTTTCCATCATATCTGATACGGCAAGAGCCTCTTCTGAGTCTGAGGGACAGGCTGCAACCTCATCAATGGAAATGTCCTCAGAATCAACCCATAGAGACTGATTCATGTCATCTTCAAGAGGATCAGCTTCCACCTGGTTTGTGTGTTCTTCAATTGTGGGTTCTGGGTTCAGAGGCGCAGCGGGGGTCGCGGCAGGGGCTGCAGCGGGGGCTGCGGCGGGGGTGAAATTGTGGGAGCTGACAGAGAGTGTCGGGTCCATAGCCAGCAGCCGAGGTTGAGGAATTTGCAATTGACGGCGCCATCTTGATGCAACACGTTGAAGAAAGTTGATTTCTTGCTCCAGCTCATGTTGCAGAATGTGATCTAGCATAAGAAGTGTCCAGTCACTTGACAGAGAGTAATGAACAACGCACTTGAAATGCAATCCTTTGCTGAAAGAAGCAGCAAAGACTCTTGATCAATCCAATGCAGCATGTTTTCGCTCTCTCAGGACAGGCGAAGCCCTTCCTCATGACAGCGGTCCAGTACATGGAGACTTGAAATTCCCTGACGGACATTTTCATTGCAGAGCCACAATGGGACATCCCCTTCCGAGGGAGTGATCCATACATCTTCGAAGAGGTTGGTATGAGACTTGAGCTCGTTTAGCTTAGTAGGAAGTGGGAGAGGGATGGGAACAGAGCAGTGTGGAGGCTGAATCTCTTCCAGTCGAGAGCAAAAGGAATTGAATTTGTCAATAAGACAATGCAGCGTTGGCTGACATTTCGAAAGAGCTTTACGCGCTGCTTGATGAAGCTTCGTACCTAGATTGCAGATGGAAACATGTCAGTGCGGTGGCGTAGTGTACGCGGGGGTGCGCGCGGGGCAGGGGTGAATTTGGGGGCGCATGGGGGAGGGACTTACCCAGTGGCTCCCATTGTCCTTGGACAGCACGGTCTAAATTCTCCCATTCCAAAAATGTCCCAATTGCTTGTTTGCGAATCTGAATCTTGAGGTCCCTCATCAGCAGCAGGATCTGCACAAATTCAAAGGGAAGTCCAGCCAGCTCTGGATAATGAGTCTCCAGGTTGAGTGAAGTGAACAGATGCTCAGCTTGTTGACTGAGCTTGACATGAGTGGATTGCAGATCCTGGATCGCAATATGTGCTGACTCCGAGCTCTGTCTATCTTCAACAGTCTTTTGGAGTTGCTCCAGAGTGTCATCAATATCTTCAATTTGATTTTGAAGGCTGACTATCTTGCTGAGCTCACATTGGACTCGAACAGGGGGGCCTGGGAGAGTGTTTTGAGTGAAGATCCTTCTCAAGGGAAGATGATATACTTGAATGAAGTGATACCTGGGCACTCAGTTGAGCCTGCCAGTGTGATCGCAAGTCATGAATGGCCACGCCTGCAGCATTGATCCGTCTTATAGACTGATTGATCTTTTGGGGAATGTTCTTATTGAATTGCCGTTCAATCCAACTACCTAGACTGATGATTCCTTCATGATTGACAAAGGAAACAAATTTATCCAGGGTGGCTATGCGCCGTGAGGTCTGTGGATGTGTCAGAATGATAAACAGCAACAGAAATATGTAGGGATACCCATTGATTACGAGTCAGAGGAATCAATCTTCTTATCCTTGACCAAAGTCTTTCTACACCTTCTAAATCAGTGAGACCCATACCCAACTTCATGCGTGAGTTGTAGACCAATTGGCAGGCCCATTGATGTCCAAATGCATGCATCGCATTTAGAGAGAATGATACGCGAGATCGCAAATGGGCAGAAAGGATGGGGAACTTCGGAGTATAGTCAGCATTGATATGGACTCTATCAAGGGGTGCGGCGGGGGGTGTCACAGGGGGTGCAGCGGGGATAGAAGTGACAGACTGTGAATGGGAATGCACGTACCAAATTGTTACTCCGGTCAAGAACACAACCAATATCATAACATTGCGTAATGGTTGCATTGGATGGCAGGAGTGAGGCCACCTTCTCCAAGAGCGCAATTATGTAGTGCTGCTGCTCTCCTGGAGTGTCTATATCACACATGAACAGGACTTGTGAGTGATGACATGTCAGTGCAAAGATGCCAGTAGAATCATAGCACTTTGGATCCCCCTTTTGTTTGTGCTCATTTGCAGCAGTCCATGACTCTCCACAGGCATCCACAATATCAGCTGAAATTAGAGACTCTTTGAGAGGCTTTGGAGATTTCCTCGCCAAAAGCACAGTCTCTTTGACCTTGTAAACCTCTTCAGGTGTCAGGAAGTACTCCTGACTGAACAAGGATGGTCCGTTGCCAGCAGCTCGGAGATGACGATAGTTGAAGCAACCATCAGCACCAAATTGGACATCCCCACCGCTGAGAATATAAGTCAGTCACTGGTGATCAGAGTCAGAGGAAAATTGAACATAGCAAGCAGATGGCCCCATTCCTTCAGGGAAAAACACAAGGGACACCGGCTCTGTAGAACCCGATTTGCAGATCCAGGGACCAGCAAGAGTTGATCATCAGATTTGATGGTGTGGTTGGCAGGGGTAAATGACGCGGGGGGTGTGGCGGGGGACGCGGTGGGGGGTGCAGGGGGGGACCCAGCGGGGGGTGCGACGGGGGGTGCGGCGGGGGGTGCACCAAGCATGGACACCTCGCAAGGTCCTGTGATTGAGACTGATGGATGTGGCTCAGCATGTGCAGGGGAAATTTCACAGGTAGAAGCTATGGAGTCTCTTGGAGATGATCCGGTGCTGCTACGGCAATACTCTTTGGCCAAGGCATCATTGACCATTTTTCGGATATGCTGTTGAATGCTGCTGTACACATGCACTGCCTGGGATAAGGCTTGTCGAAGAGGATCAGCAGCATGTTCACCATCAAACTGGAATATGTATCAGAAATAAAGTGCGAAAAAAGCGGAATGAAAGAAGCAACTCACGGTTTTGGACATCAGCTCAAATCCTCTGGTATTGTAGAGGGTTGTTAGAGCGTTTGTGAATGCTTGAATGGCGATGCAGGAGCGTTGAAACAATGCCTGGTATATCTCCAATGTATTGACTGTAACAGCAATTTGTGGCTTACTAGGTGAGGTGGCCAGAGCACCATGCTCCAGTAGAACAGTTGCAGGGGGAACACAAGAACATGTTCAGACATTGATATGTTAAAAATCTGGTCAAATGTCAGGCCAAATCTGTTCAGGCAAAATTGAAACACACATGAGATGTGGAGACATAGGACACGAATTTTAGTTGGGGTACAGGCAGGATTTTCACAATTTTGATGAATGGTTTCAGCGAGTGATGCGGGTGGACATGCAAAGGATGATTTCCGAAATGCCAGCAGAGAGATGGCAAGATCAGGGATGAGATTGATCCACACAGAAGAGGCCTGCATAGCACGTGGCTTCCTCTGCAAAGCATGTGGTCGCGCAAGAATTTCAGGGATAAATGGCGGCATTCCAGCCCCAACACCCAGCCATGCGGCGGGCCCCGCGGCGGGCCCCGCAGCACCCCCCGCGGTAGGGCCCGCGTCATGTGCAATATCTTCCCATAGATCCTCGCTCATTGCGCTCATTTCATCCACTTCTATTTGATCCTCAAGGATTATATGCTCCTCCATCCGTTGTCCAGACGGTTCGGTTTCCAAATCTGCTGATTTTGGGTCAAGCAAAGAATTCATCTTCTGAGCCAGAAGATTTGCGCAAGCGTTGCGGCCCATGGGTATTGTCAAGATGTTTCGGAGCTTGTGCTGTCCCTTCACTGGACTGGTGGGTCGAATGCTTTGCCCTGAAGGTTTTCCTGGCTGCTTTCTTGGTGGTGGCTTTTTGGGGGCATCCTGGGAGGAAGAGGCAGAAGGAGATCGTCATGGGAAACAAAGTAATCATATATCAGGGAACCCAGTGGCACTACGGCGTGAGCGTACAAATGTGGAACAGATCAACCCCGCAGATGACCCCGCCAGATGATGGGATCATGCCCATCACTGCTGCAGTGCGGCGGGCGCAGCGGTCCAGGTTTTGCATTCAGTGCTTCGCTTTTTCGATATTTGAGGCACAGGACAGACTGGAATAGCATCCCGGTTTTTCCGGCAGCTTTTTTTTTTTTTTGCGCTCGGTCACGTGACCAAACTGCCCACCGCCCCCGCGCATTGTGCACCGTGGAGAGCCCTGAAAATCGCACCGAATGGCGGCAAAAAAGATGGGAGGAGGTCACGTGAATGTGCGCCTACCGCCCGCCGTGGCATGCGGGGGGGGGTCGGTAATGCCCCCGCCAGCACCCTGCCAGCCCCCGCCAACATTTTAAAAATTATCACTTCAGCTGTCACGTGCTTTTTTATCCCGCCATCCCGCCCATGCAGCGCGTCATGTGATTGGATTTTTTTTCCCGCCCAGCTACCCGCTCTTATGGACAAGTCACATGCTACATACACCCCCCCTCCTCCTGACCCCCGCATATGCCCCCGCTACTAAATCGACTAAATGGCCCCCCCACCCCCCGCCAGGGGGTACCTACTGGGTACCCTCAGCAAGACGTCTGAGGGTACCCAGTAGGTACCCCGCGGGGGGAGAACCGCATGATGGCGGTGGTAACTGAGGTGGGCAAGTCTGTGGCCCTTCGTTGTCTTGGTCAAGCTGATGGAGCCCAAGTTGTTGCCTTGCAATTTGAATGGTCCGCTTTGGGGTAGATATGATTCTGATAACCAGTTCTCCATCCAGACTGATTGCTGACATGTACAGGCAAGCGAGATGTATTCGGCTTCTATCAACAACAAGGCTATGACTGTTTGCTGCTTGGCCAACCATGCAACAGGGGCTCCACCCATAAAGAAGATGTAGCCACTAATTGATCTTTGCATGTCAACACATCCTGCCCAGTCTGAATTAATGAAACCCAGAGGTTTCATCCCATCTCCATTCCCAAGGGTGTCTAGCTTATACTTGATACCATAGTCCATTGTACTGCAGATGTACTGAAGAACACCAATAAGAATCATCCAGTGTTTGGGTTCCAGGTTGAACTGCACATGCTCTAAGACACAGCAGGCATATAAGAGATTGGGTCTGATCCCTGTGCTCCCCATACAATGGACCTGAGTATCTGCCTGAATAATTTGTCAGCCATGAATTTTTCATCTACAGGTGGAAGGGGCAATGGCAAGGCACGTCTTTGATAGTTGGGCAGTAGTGGTGTTGACAGCAGGGGAATGTCAGCAAACCCAAAGTGATTGAGAACTTTATCAAAGTATTGCCGTTAGCATACAGATATTGATCTGTCCAAGAACTTCTCGACTGTTAACCCAAGGAGATGATTCACATCCACTTCCTTCAAGTCCCAGATATGTGTGAATTTGTCCACTACGCACTTGCTCTCTGTTTTGGTTGAAGACGCCCCAATAACATTGTCAGTGTGCATGCTTGTCAAGGTATATTGTTCACTGTCCATCCTTGTTCTCACACACAGCTCCGCCCTGTTTTTGTGATACCCAAGGTCTTTGTACTCTACCGCCAGCATCTTGTACCAGATGTGTCTGGCTTGCACCAATCTGTATATTAGCCTGAGAAGTAAGTATACTTTGCTCTCTTCCCCCTGCTCCTCAAACCCCTTTGGCTGTTTTATGAAGACTAGCCTGTCCATTATGCTATTCAAGTAAGCTCACAAGAAGTTCTACTGCTTCACGTGCAAGTACTTGACAGCCGCTACTGCAAACACCATTCTTGCAACCATTGCCCACTTTGTCCCCAAAGTCTCATCTCTCTACTATCTGGTCACCCCATGCCACATATTGTGCTTTCCTCTTGATTTTATTCCCTTCTCCATCTATCTTCCAGTGATCGGCTGGCTACCAGATGCGCTCTGCACCAGCTCTATAAGGGCGTATTTTTGCGCTTTTACAGAGTTTACTCTCAAACCATTTGGTGTATTGTGTTGCGGTTGCCAGTGTTGTGCTCAGAAGGACTTGAGGGTCTACTGCCCAGTTGACAACTGTGAATAGTGTCAACAATAGCAAGGCAGTCAGACCACTACTGTGGAATTGGTCTTATAAGTCTACACCAGGCTCAGGGCTATTAGTGACGAACACTCAGACCGCAACAATTCCCCAAAAGGGATGCTTTGTTGCGGCAACTCCTTGAAAGGGTCATCCTCTTCAGATGGGAACTCGGGCTGGAGAGCTTAGCAATGCGCGACGTGCTCAACATAACAACTACTACTAGACAGGACTTGGCGTTACAAGATTGAACCAATCTTGTCGCGGCAACTCCTGGCTTTGGGTTGGACATTTCCTTAGATCATGCCACGGTGACAACTTGTCATATGTCATGTTCCACTCAATCACAGGATATTGTGGACGCATCATAGTGACACTTCAAAGTGTCATGGTGAGTCACGCCCATACCCAAACACACTAAAAGCAACACGGGCTAGATCCATGAACCAAACTATGCAAGGAACGTCTGGCGTGCCTAGGACCATACAGCTTCTTGGGGCACCCACATTGGACTCACTTGCCAAGATATACCAGTTGGCCAATCCAGCATGTCGTATTCCAAAAGTATAACACAGTGGGTTGACCTACATCAAAAGTACCATATAGACAATGGGGCGGGGTCCTGATCAGTCAGGACCTGTCCAATCGTTCAACTTTTTCATTACCATAAAAGGCAACCAATCTTAGATAGCATAGTGACTATGCAGTTGTACAGGTCTTTACTAAGCATTGTCGTAGACAGTATAAGTAGCATGTTGTTTCTTTGTATTGGGGAGCTTTACCCTGGACTGTGAATCATACCCATATCAGATTATTTTTGTACAATTTGCGTGTCGCATGATTCCGCCTTAAGAAGTTCTATTACCCCTGCCCAGTTGCAACAAGTTGCTCCCCAAGCGCTTGTAGCTACTGTGATTTGAGTCTTAGTTGAGATATCAGAAAGTCGGATTCACTGCTTCTGGTTTTGTCACGGCACTTAGTGTCGTTGCCTTTGGGCTTTGTTGAGATTGTTTCTACACCTCTAGTTTGGCAGTGTATCGACTAGTTGTGCTTGGGTTGTTTTGGTCAGTTGGCAGTGCGTTGACTTGAGAACTTTGGTTCCACACTTCTTGCTTGGCAGTGCGTCAACAAGTTGTGCTCGGGTTTTGGACATTGGATATTGGCTGTTAGTTGGCAGTGCATTGATGCGGCATTTTGGTTCTACTAGTTGGCAGTGCACTGACTCAGTGTTTTTGGTTGTGTCAGTTGGCAGTGCGTCAGCTTGACATTTTGGTTTTACTAGTTGGCAGTGCGTTGACTCAGTATTTTGGTTGTATTGGTTGGCAGTGCATTGACTTGATATTTTGGGCTTTGTGTCACCATCTGGATGCTGTTGCTACAAGGGATCTTAATACTTCGTATTAAGTTTTGACTTGTGATATTGTTGGTTGTGGTTGGATTAGTGTTGGTTTTGGCTGTATAGAAGATATTGGTTGAGACACCATTGTTTACTATATATAAATCCTTGTCATTGACTTTGTCTTCTGCGACTATTGGATCCCGCATCTATTGAGAGTTGTGATACTGGTGCTCTGTCCACCCCAAAGCCCTCGCATCTTTCACACACTGAGAAGCTGATTACAAGAAGTGTGAATGTGTTTATATTTGGGTTTACTTTCTTAGTAGATTCACCTGTCAGCGCACCCTCAGCATTTCACCGCTTTGCCACAGTATCATTGGGATTGGTTGCAGAGGTAAGTTGTGATAATCAACCCAAAAACAAAGTCAAAAAGAGAAGTGAATTTGAAGACTGGAGAATACAACCAAGTAGCTGTTGAAGTATAGAAAGGATGTCTTGCTTGGTTCAGACAAAAGAGTGTTACTTAGCTATGTGACCATCAGTACATAGCCCTAGATCAATGTGACAGACTGGGCTTTTCGCCTCCCATCTGTGCCCCTAGCCTCCTGCGGCTCCCATCTGTGTTTTCTGTGTTCAACAGTAGCTACTGTATTTATACCCAAATCCAGTCTGAGTCATATCTACAACTAATGAGTCATAAGGCTATGTACCGCATGGAGCGCTGGTCATGGGTTGTAGCAGAACCTTCTAAAGCATATATTGTGCAGCCTTGAATTGATAAAGATGATCTCCTGGACCCCTAGCCCGGACTGTCAGGTGCCATGATCCGTGATAAGATAACCTGTGCCAGGATAAGATTGTTGATATAATGGCTGAACCAGGAATTGAACCTGGGACCTCTGACTTGGATCGTCCAGTGCTCTAACCACTGAGCTATTCTGCCTTGGTGCTGGGATTCCCAACTCCAACAAAGATAAGATTGTTGATGATAAGATGAAAAAGGGCTGAATTATGACATTACCCCCTCTCTAGGGTCAATGTCCTCATTGAATGGGCCAATGGGCATGAAGATGTTTTTGTAAGGGTAGAAGAATTGTTGTTGGGAATATGGAAGGTGCTCATCTTTGGGTCTGTAGCAGTGTATAAGATAGTCTCAATGTCTGGCTTTGAGTGTTGACAGGAGGCAAATGCATGTGTCTGGGTTGGATTGTTTCTTCTGCCAAGCCTTCAGGACCTTCTTTGCATGGGTAAGATGAGATGATGGTTCTCAAGTATTCTTGCTATGCAGCGATCCTTTCCATTTGACCAAGTACTGTTTTCCTCAGCCCACGTTTTGTTCTTTCACAATTTCTTTGACCTCCCACTCCTCTGTTCCTCCGATCATCTTGGCTAC